GACGGACAGACAGCACCGACTTTGGTCGTCAGTGATTTCATTTCCCGCTGCCAAATCAATTTTTGTCCACCTTGGGCCTTGCAGAATACTACGTTCGGCAAACAAAATAATGCCTTGCGCGGCAGACGGTGACCGGACATAAGCAACACGTGCCCAAGCTAGCCCGACTTATTCAAAATAACATATTGTCCTAAAGAACTAACCTTATTATCTCCACCGAGTACGGCCTGTGCACACCACTGCTGGCGTTCACGTTGGGGCTGCCCGACAACAACAATGAGTCACAGGCAGTGATGGTCAAAGATCAAAAGACGCCTCAGACCAAATCCCATAAAGTAGGACGGCGCTCACGGTGACCTTGTAAACAAACCTTTTCAGACTAAGGGAGAACTCTTCTCTCGCCACAGATCTCGCAGATGCAAGAAGACAGTTCTAACTTTTGTAATAGGTGAACGGACGTACGCTGTTATGCGCCTATCGTTGCTGATGCAGTTACTAAGGTAAGTGAATTTATCAACTACATCGAGCTCCTCGCCAACAAGTGGCCGCTGATCCGACAACATCAGTTTGCACTTTGAAGGTGCGAAGCGTATACCAAATGATGGGATCCTTTTAGAGAATTTATTTACGGTTGACTAGGCGGCCCCAACATCGTTAAACAGTAGGACAATATTGTCTGCATAGTCGAGATCGACGAGCTTTCACCTGGCAGCACGTCAACGCCTGTATCGCGAGATTCCGAAAGGGGACAAATAGGGGAAATGGGGTGACGCTGACAAATGCCACTTGTGGTCGAAAAGATACCCGACAAATCACCGTGGACTCTGGTGCGGCCAATTGTTTTCGAGTATAGGGCACGGCAAATGTTCACACTTCACGGAAACACCTTTCCGCGTAAGCACTTAGAACCAAATAGATCGAATAAATCTAATCCACCCTTAAATTCGAGAGGCAGCTAATGTCGGACTACAACAGGTGTGGCGTTGCTCCAGAACCTGCCGAATATATGGTCTATACAACACCGTCTAGGGTGGAAACTTGCATGCGCATCCATAATCCGGGATTCCTGTTCTGCAGTAAGTCGACTGACGAGAACGGAGGCTAGTAGCTTCGCCACTACCGACATCAGGCAATTACCAAAATCCTCACTACTACCTATCAGTAATTACCCCCTCTGGTTAGCACAGTCGGTGCGATTGTCCTTCTTGTATATTGCCACTATGATCGGTTCACTCCAGTTAGCTGGGATAGTCTCTACCTTTTAAATCAGTGGTCAGTGCGTTGTCGACAACCTCACTACGATACTTGAATGGCGCCGGTACAATGGAGTCCGGACCAATAGCTCGAAAACGACTAAGTGCTGCGATCGCGTTGCGGACCTCCGATGAAATCTCTAACTCACCTTAGCTAACCATCAGCCTGCACCACCTGAGTATGGAGAGGCACAGGAGAAAGGGGCCAAAGGAACTGTTCTCGTAAGTGATTTGCCCAATAAGCCAGAAGACGCTGGCTATCATGAATTGGTGCATCGGCATCGGTGCAGCCTTTGATTGCCACATGAACGGTAAACTTCCCGAGACCGGTGGTGCAGATCAACGGTAAGAGTTTGCACTTATTGTCTGCCGCGCCCGACTGCACCAGTTCTTGAACCCTAGTGGTCTATCAGAATTAGTTGTCAGCTAGTCGACTCACTTTCAGCCCATGACTAATGGTCCATCCGGTCCCACTATATTCAGAGCTAACATGATTTCTTCTGAATTACAACAGGTTCACAGAATCCTCAAATATCCAGTGAATGGTGCGATCACTGATGGTGCCGCAATTAGAGGCACCGGAGTCGTGCATGGCATTCGAGACCCTATTCCACTGAAACTCGATATCTACAGAATAAGTAAATCAATGTTCTGTGTTTAGAACATCCCAGTGCTTTGCTTGATTGAGGACTGAGATAACTTCTCAGTTAACAGTCAAAGAAAACGTTTGATACGCTTCTAGACGAAGTTCATGCAAAATCGACAGCGTGATTAGAGTCTATGCATGCTGGTTAGCCGAACAACTTCCTCGTGGTGCCAGGTGGGTGGTTCGGGTTTAACCCGTTCCAGCAAACAGTCCTGCGACGGTGTTCCAGAAAGTGGTAGGTTTTCGCATGGTAAGCGTTCTCCCTATAAAAAGCCAAAAATGTTTGATTATCTACACTAAGACGTGGCGGTTGTCATTCGCCACAAACTAAAGTCACTGCTCCGTGAATATCCGGATAATCCTAACCAACCCACGGGTATCAATCGTCCACTCCAACATTGCCGACATTATCAAAGAGACAAGGACGCAGTGACACACTTACAGGCACAAGTACACATATACACAATTACACAGTTATACACCCCCTACACATACATTCATTGTCATTGCAAACACGTTGTATTTTTGTTATCTTAATGTGATCATGCCTGTAAAGGCGTGCCTCGCGTTGTCTATAATAAAAATTTTATTTAGGTATTTTATTTGTTTATTCCAGGAAGAGCGACAGTCCAAGATGTAACCGCGCCATGGGGAGCTTATGAAAATGTGGTCGAGTTGAGCCCTTCGTTGGCCGACTGTAGTATGACACCAAGATCAGCGCGCACTGTATTTGAAGGCCGTGCTTCTAAGAAATAGCCAGTGGCTCCATGCACAGCTGAAAACCGCTGGCCAAGGTCCATGTGTGGTCTTCTGATGAGTTCAGATGACTAGACTGCGTGTTTATAGTCCCTGCGACAAGAAGGAAGCCAGAACTAACAATGTTGCGAAGCAAGGTGTCCTTGGTAGATTCAGGGCTGCAGTCGGCGGATGCATAAGCTGTAAGCACAAACAGCGGTTAGCAATACCTCGTGAACCGTCCGTAATTGATGTCGTCAAATGAGATGAACACAAACGGCTGCTAACCAACCAACGATGATTCCGTTTTGGGGTTGAGAATGTCCACCAGAACTTGATCTGTGGTTGCTGCATCCGTGTCCGCGAATGCGTGTAACTAATAGGAAAAGAACAAGCCGGGCGTAGTTAGTTCAAGAAGATCGTGAGGGTAAGTGATCCCAGTTTCGGATACACAGCATACGTCGACACTCTACGTGTCCAATGTGCAGGCAAGTGACCCATCTGCTTTAGGTTACGAACATTCAACGCCAGCAGAGAAATAGGACATTGTAGCCTGATGAGGGGTTGCTTATGACATCAGTCCAAAAGGTGCCAGAACTTCGATGGTACCGCAACTGCTGTCAATTAAACAGAGGGTTATGAAAAGAGCATTAAAAATTGAGATCGGGAGGGGCGTAAGAGAAACAGGTGGATATGGAGAGGAGGCATTAGCAGATAAAGCAGACTATTTTAAAGCTACGAGACGGTTGATGCAGGATGTGGTGGAAATTTGATGAAATAGTCATAGTTGTATGTGGATTGAGAGACTACCGGGGCGCCTAGATCTAGACAAGAGAACAATTAGGGTTTTCAACCAAAGCCTTTGGGTCAAAAGTCAGTCCAAAGTTAGCGGAGAGGTGGCAGCGATTCATCCATCCATCCAGCCATCCAATTACCAACTCCCAACCTGGATAACCAAGAGACATCTAACCATTGATCAATCTGCCATGAGTAGCTCTTAACGGTGTCGAATAGCCGTCCAGAAATCAAGAAGACTGGGCCGCGATCACGAAGTCTTTTAGTAAGAATATGCATGCATATTTATAAAGCATATGCACCATTTACGACAGTTTGTCGCACTGGGTTATCCTTGTTATTCGCCATCGGTCGCTGGCTCCATTTCCAAGGGGTATACGATTGCTCGTAAGGTTCATTCTGCCTAAAAGTACCTCGAGCTGCGTTGCCGACTTTCTGGGTGGATTGTACGATTGACTCGGTTGGTCACTCGCCCATCAGGCCGCAGGCTTCTTCCTCGGTCCCATACCACAACAAACCTTGGCTCAAGTGCGCACCAATACATTCCGCACGGTTAAGCGCTTCTTCGCCTGTGCTTTCGGAACTTGCTGGTGTCTGACTGTTTGCTAGCTGTACTTGCAGAGCTCGACACGGGCGTGTGCCGACCATCTGCTGCTCGGCTGACCCATGGCATGCTCACTTTCCATCGGGCTGGATTGCACCTGTCTGGTACTCCGAGAAATACCGAGTGGCGTTCGATTGCCATCTGCCTACCGGTACCGTAGCATTTCCAGTCAACGTAAGTTCCAGCCTTCATCACAAAGCAGACCGAGGGACCACCCAGTGAAGCACGTAAACTGTCCCACCATATTCAGACTAACGACAAGTTTTCTGTGATCGGTAATTCGAGTGGGCTAGAAGAATGTGAGGGGATTTCCCTTTGAAGTTTCATGACCACTATACAAGTCTCCTTTGAACTATCGGCTGAGATAGAATAGTGTTAAGTGACTTGGTTGCTATATTTCGGCGACGATAAAACCGTTCCATGTGGTGAGTAGGATTTAAGACTGATTGGTTGGCGGAAAGCCCCGCTTCCTAAAAGAAAATGCGATGCCGATCAATATCTTATAGTGGGTCACCGGTGATTGCCACGGACAGTGGAGCTTGATAAAACTAGTGGATTAAGCGAGGTTTTCATGTACTAATCGTACCATGACCCCCGAGGTGTATACAAATGACTGCATGTACAAAAGCGCAGTCAGAGAGTTAAAGCTGGCTGGATACCGTTTATCAACTAAGATGCGGCGGACCCTGCTGCTTCTGATAGACATCGTTAAAACAAAAGTAATAATTATGATAGATCAAGGGAAGTGGATAAGAAACACAATCGCTATAAGAAACAGTTAAGAATCAAGAGGCCAGAAACTAATAAAAGCGCTTTACTGGCTCAGTGATTGTCTCATATCCGAAAAAGCAATGAACCATTGATGTGGCCGAGCCTGAGGGATTCATTAAAGAAGGCGAAGAGCAGCAGTCCGACTTAGCTGTCCTAGCAGATTTTTTCTGCCATTTCGTCGACTGAGCGTCTTGGGGTTTCATCCAACTAAACACAGTGTTGGTAAACAGCATATACACAGAAGCAATCGGACCGCTGGCATGGGGAATAAATGAACAGGCCGTCGAAGGTGAATCGAGCTCAACAGACACAAACCAGTGAGGCACCGAGGGTCTGTGCCAAAAGACAAACGACGAACGGCAGTAGTATATAATTTGCCCCCTTTAAGCATATGTTTGCGGTAGTTCATATGCATCGTTGTGTACGAATACAATAGACTACTCAAAGTACCCGGCGCAAAGCAGCCTGATACGTGCAGTAACAATGACCTAACCATATCACTATGCACTCCTGTCTGAATCACTTAGTTTACACCTTTACTGGTCCCATAAAGAGATGACGCTTTGAAAAGGCCTAAAAGCCCCTGAAATACGCATAGTAAACGCTCCAATAATGCGGTCATCAGAAGTGGTCCAGAAACCGATCAAACCCCTTCGAGCGGCTGTCCGTTGGTCAACGTAGGTGGATCAAAATGTTTTACAGTGCCACTGGAAAAGGTGTACAAATTGATCGAGATGTGAACATGCTTACACCAATAAAGAGGCGTGTCAAGGCGTAGTGTGTCATGTGATACGCCCGAGATTAGACCTTGCATGGTACTAAAAACCTTTAGCATTACATGAGTGTCGACCGCTGAGCGCGGTACGACCAACAACCGAATGGTTGACCCAGGATGCCACCAATTCCGGTCTTTCGTGATGGCGTCACTGCATACGCCGGGCGAAAGACATCAAGAATTGAGTACTAAACGTCGGAAAATAAAGTGAGAAAGCTTGCTGTAGCACTCGGAATCATTCAAAAACACAAGTCTAAAGCATAAATTTATGTGTTAATGATTATTTTGCTCATTCAGATGGTTATTGCCAAACTCAAGGGAAGACAAATAAACCGAGGAAATGGGCCTACAAGTCATGACGTGGTTCAAAAGAGGTGAAACAAGGGACAATCAATCGATAAACACCGACAATTTGCAGCAGAAAATGGCTTTCAGTAGTTCAATGGAAGGCGTCTGAAGCTCATTTCTGCGTTGCAAAAACACGCCTCAAGCGTGAGTGGGAATGGGGATTTCTTGGGGAATTTTTACATTGGAGTTGCAGAATGAAAGAGCTATCTTTTATATCACAGTCTTTTCAACCGAAACCACCGAAGAAGAGCATAGCGATCTATTGCGGTTTGAAGAAGGACCCGATAGGGATGAATTCCTTCAGTGGGTCGCAGCCTGATGCCAAATCGTTCGCGCATCCAGGGATGCATCACCAATAGATGCGTGATAAATTGGTGGATAGCCGACGTAGTCCAATACACCACAATAGCCTAAACAAAGTAAATTGTAAAATGAGGCAGATAAAAATGCTTACTTTGGGGACGAAGAGTGAGAAGTAAAAGATTACGAGATTCCCGAACCATCCGGCACCTCGCGAAAGTCTGAAGTTCCACAGATTTGACCGAGGTGTGCGCAGATGCATGAGTTCGATGTTGGCTAAGCCTGTCAACAGGAGGCACATCGGTAGCAACCAGTGGGCACACGCAACATTGAGGCCTTCTGTGACGAGATCGGGAACCAGAGGAGTCCACACTGAATGGTCAAAAAGAAAGACAAGGGGGATAATAGGTAACGAAGTGGTTCAGTGTACTTTGGACAGACTGTTTTGGTTTGTATGGACTCGGCGGGTATTAGTGTGGTCCGTACTGGAACGTTGAATGTCCACTTAGTGGATGAAGTATAATAATAAACATTCATTTATCCCAAACCTGCTTCATAACTAGACAGCCCTGGCAAAATGTCAGAACCAATGGACGATATGGTGAACAGTAGCCAAAAGCGAAGTAGTGAGCAATGACAAAGACGCTTACGTCCTCCAGGGGACATGGAGAGCTAATAAAAGAAAATTGGGGGAACCGTGGTAATTATTTTACACGGTACTGTGGTGCGTTTTTACAGATACGTCATGGAGGTTGGATGGACGTGTTCAGTTCAGTTTCGTTGAACAACTATGATTCGAGCACCGAGGTGCGATGGATTTAGTTGCCACGACTCACATCACAAGAATAAATAAATAATAACGGCAAGATAGTGGGGTTGAATGCGGATAGAGTGTAAAGAAAATGGAAGCAAGAAGGAAGTGCTAAATTAAGCAAATGTAGCGAAAATTAATGACTAGATGCAAAAAACCGAGTGCAGGAACGCCACTGACTGCGTGAATGCGCCATGTCTGATATGATCTCCAACCATCTTGAGGGCCCTATCCACGAAGACGGCACGCACCAGCCCGACGAAGTCTATCAGTCAGTATCTTCATGCCTATGCCACGTCATGGATTAGTCATCTCGCGGTTTCGCACAACTTAGTGCAGCCACGGTGTATGATGCATGTTGGGGAATCCGGTCAAGGAGCACATGGAGGACATCGCCTAGTCAACGTAAGCGATTAAGACACAGCAAACATAAACACCATCAGGTTACTTACTAAAAGTCGACTGGAGTACCTCACCGTTGCTCACCCAGTGGTTCAACGAGACGTGAGCAATGCTCCGCAAACACCGGTGGTCAAACACGGCCAACCGTTTAATGTCTTCACCGCGAATTGGCCAGGTCTCTGATTCATGCAGCAACACCGGACTTACTGCAGCGTTATACACCCTACCTTTCACTGACAGGCTGATATCCCGCCGTCTCCATAACTAGTTGAGTCTCTGGAAAGCCCCACGGGCTTTGCTGATACGCGAAATAATTTCCTCAGTGATGTGATCACCAGAGGTGACAGCTACCAAGGTCAGTGAACCGATCCACCACATCCAGTGGCTGTTGGGTGATAGCCAGAACCGGTCCTGCAGCAGTGCTTTGCACTTTGAAGGTGCAAAGCAGATGCCGAAACGTGCAGTGCTATACGTCAGTCTACCTGGTAGTGTTTTCATAGCCACTACGTTTGACCCAAGAAGAGCCATGTCGTCCGTATGCTCCAGCTTTGTCAGTCGGTCACCTGACAGAAGTTCCACTCCGGTAGAGTCTGAAAGAATGGAGTCATTCATGATCATTTCAACAACAAAGTTAAAAATGAAAGGATATATAGGACAACCCTGGTGAATCCCACTTGTCGTGGGGAACGCATGAGATTTGCTGTAGACCCTTACACGGCCTAGGGAGTAACGGTAGAGACTTGAGAATGGAAGGGAATTTAGCCGACACGCCCATCAAGGATAGGCAGTACCACAAGCTGACGCGGTCAACAGAGTAAAAGGCAACTTCTAAGTCAATGAAAACCACCATAGTCAGTCATCGGTATGTGTCTTTGCAGTAACACTTGGTGAGGAGTAAATATGTGGTCGATATAACCACGACCAGGTTGGAAGCCAGCCTCGCTTTTAGCAACTCAGTTCTCACGGGAAACAGTAAGTCGTCGGAGAATGATACCCGTGAGAAATTTGGAGGCAAAGGAAACAAGGCTAATGCATCGATGATTTTCGCACAAAGTACGCTGACCTTTCTTGAAGATGAGCACGACAGTTGACAGTCGACAGTATGAAGGCATCTCTTCAATGTCCCAAATCGTGTTAAATAGAGGAGCGAGTCCAGTCAACAAAGAGCCATTGCCATCTTGCAGCAAAGATAGAAAAAGGACGTCGGGTCCAGTTGTGCTGTTTCTTTTCAACACGGAAGGCTCAAGTGTAATCTCTTCCAAAGTGAAAGGTGTGACATCTACTTCCCACGTCAGCTCAGGAGATTTGGCAAGTGGCAGTGTTGCAACAGACCTGCTGAACTGCCCTACAAAATGTTCCGCCCAACGGGTTAGTCGAGGACGCTAATAATGTGTCAGCAGTCCATTTCTCTTAGCTATTGTCTCGCTAACTGATGGCTTTCTCGGACCAGTGTTCCGGATGAGCTGGTATAGCAATCGGCCGTTCCCAATAGCCCCGGTCTTCTCCATCTCACGGGCCCTTGCCACCCAACAACGTTCCCGGTCGATTCGAAGACTTCTTATCAGAAGTCGTTGCAGGGAGTTATGGAAACGCTGAAACGCAGTGCCCATTGGAACCAGTCTTCATGTTTCGATCAAGGTGGTGGATGCCTCAGAGATACATTCACAGTTATGACGCTTTAAGTTAGGTGCATAGCATGCGTCAAAGCCATTCTTTATGCCACACTTGAGGGGATCCAAGTCAGCGTCCAGCTCATCAACCTCATTCATCACTGGCAGTTGGTGGGCTAGTTAGTCATGATATTGCTGAGCGGTAGACTGCGAGTTCGAGTAACAGGTAAGAAGATCAAAAGATAGGTGCTTGTTTGAAGCGAGAAGAGTAAGAGCCAAGAGTGCGCGTACTAGAATATGGTCAGAATTCAGGTAAGTTCTCCAAATTGACGGACAATCTTGGACTAATGTTAGCCATCTGTAGGTGATGGCAATATGATTAATTTGGGTCTAGGTCATTAAGGAATTCCATGGGCGCCAAGTGACGCGGTGTGAATGTTTGTGCTGGAAAGCAACGCTGCTATAGTAAAGAACATGGTCGGCGCATAGTTGCAGAAATCGAGCACCGCTGTCCGTTCGGCGTGCATCGACTAGGAAGCAGCCTCCTAAAAGGTGATCAGAGTCTGAAAGACGACCCACTTGGGCATTCATGTCACCAGCAACAGTCACGATGTCAGTATTCTTCGCCATGCGAAGAGATGAGAGCTGTTGATAGAAATCGTCATTGATACACTCTGAATTGCACTAAGTAGGGGAGTAAACTGAGGCGATGAAAAGGCACCTTGTGATCAGATGCTGCTTATTAACTCCAATAAGGATTCGAAGTTGAACCGTACACATGCGGCTATTCACCGATATCCAGGCGAGCAGATTGACTTCAGCATGTTTGCTGATGGCAATACCAACACCTCGAATATCTTGAGCCATTGACTCAGTATCGTCAGATTCAAAACCAGTAAGTCGAAGATTCGTCACGACGCTGTTATATTGTATGCGTGTTTCGGAAACATAGCACACATCAATACCAAGAACGTGAAGAGTGAGAGTTAGCGCTGCCTGCTGGCTGATCTGACCTAGAGTGCGGACGTTAAAAGAACCAATGAGAAATTAAACACCACTAAGCATGGTGGAAGAGCTACATGTGCCAATGACAACAGATGCGAGGTCAGCGGCAGTCTCTTGCTCGATAGAGGGGGGAGAAAAGAGGGAAGAGGAGAGAGATGAGGGAGTATTGTCGACGTGGTCGGGAGGGCAGATGGTACTCACCGGCCGCCGATTCCGAGAGGGTGATTTTGTTCAAGGTGTCCTCATCATCACCATTATGCACGTGGAAAACACCTCAGCTGTTGTGCCGCAATACCAAAGACAAGAAGAAGAAAAAATAACAAGAGAGGTACGCCAAATGAGTCCCCAGTAACGGAAGGACATCATTTCGGAGAGCTAACAGCCGGCTATCGTGCCGCAAAAGGATAATTATACTACGCCTAACGAATGAGGCCGTGATTGGAGGGGGAGTCAAGCAAGAGTGGGATGGACAAAGCAACTCACAACACAGACGCCACTGGGGCCGGCTCCTAGTCATATCAGCAAGTGTGTCCAACCAAACGTGTTCATCCGCCTTAGGACCCCAGCCAGGCAGTCGGGATGCACCAACCGACGCCAACTTCGTAGTGAGAGACTTCATTCCTATTGACCAAGTCATCGGTTGGCCTCCCCTAATCTTCGTACATCCAGACCCCGGGCGCGCAAACAATGCACGTCGCGGGAGTCAGTGTGCTGGCATACGCCACACATGACCAAGCCATCGGAGCCTGGTACTTGATATAACAGTGCTGAGCGGTTCACTAGTTCTTCCTGCACCAATTACGCGACGCCGAACACGCTCATTGCTCACGCGGTGCTCCCACCAGACACGAGCTAAGCTGCGAAGGCAGCGATGATCGAACGTGGCTACCCTCTATATCTCTGTCGACCTGACAGGTCAGGTTTCACAACCGTATAACAGGGTTGAACGGACGGCTGCATTATAAACTCGGCCCTTTAGGGCGAGCGTGATGTCGCGTCTGCGCCACAGGTTCGTAAACTCAGCTTCCATCCCACGGGTGCTAATATAGCTGCACAGGTACTTGAATTCCTGAACGACTTCTAGCTGATCACCACCAAAGGTCAGCGCAGGGGTGGATCATTGCCAATCTTGGAGAATAACTTTGCATTTCGATGGGGCAAAGCATAGCCCAAAACGATTGACAGCCAGTGCTAATCGGTCCAGTGCAGCCTGGCACGTTTGGGTGTTGCCACCTATGAGGGCAATGTCGTCCGCTCTGCCTCTAGCCTTTGACTCAACAGTCTGACACACAAGGAAGTGAGGCACATGGACGTTCGCTTGAGGGGCTGCATCCGGAGCCTTTGGCTCAATAGCCTGACACACAAGGCAGTGTGGAGCAAGTCCAGCTAGGAAATGAAATCGCAGAGACCCATTGGGACTTGCTTGAGGCCTGTCAAATGCAGGCTTTGAAGAGTTTGAACAGTGCACACGTGTTTTACCAATGTAGCAAGATACGCACCTGCGACCGCGACCAGCCGCAGGTGCGAGTTGGCGCGTTGGCACTGATTTGAATAGGAGCTGCCTGATTTGGAAAGTGCCACCCAGCACAGCTCAATGGGTCACGGTGGTACGCTAACCATCGCACCACGTTAAGGTCCAGCCTCGTAGTGATGGATGGAAGTGTATAGTTGAAAATGATGCATGGCCCTCCGTGTTGACCAATTGACTATCTTCGCGGGCAAACAGAGCACATGAAGAGGGCACTACATGAGAAATGCAGCCACACGCGCGACTGATCTGACCTAACGTGGCGAAGATGAGCGTGCAAAAGATGCGTCCTTCTAGAAAACCTGATCGCATGTAAACACTAGGCCCTTGTCACTGTCGCTTTCAGTTAGATACAATGCGGAGACCGCGGTTGTCCACACCTTCCACAGAGACAACAACATCAGCCATTTGAGCTGATGCTTCGCTGTTGGAAAACCACGGTGACCTAAGAAAAGAAGACTAATAACAGGAAGAGAGGGACCTAGCATAAAACCTTAGTGCCCCAAGCAAATATTCAGCGTCAAAGGCGTCTACACCTAGTCAACATCATACCGTCACAAACAGCTGGCTATCGTGCAAAGATAAAGCGGCGTCTGCGAGACAGCTTCCTTGCGGCCTTTACTGCCACGCGTCGCAATCAGCTATTACCCCACAAATAACTAAGCACCAAGCATGTCACTGGTGCCGACTGCGGGCCATATCCTGTAACGTCTCCAGCCAAGCACAAGGCGCGTCAAGTGGATTCCAGCCTGGATGGCGAGATGAACCAAAAGCACTAAGTTTTGTAGTCGGTGACTTCATTTCTCTCTACCAAGTTAACTTTTGCCCACCTCAAGGCTTGCGCCACCCTACATCTGGCAAACAGAACAAAGCCCTGTTCGGTAAGCGGTGTTTCCCAGAGAGACCGAATGTCGTAGCCATCGTGAGGAACTGATCGCACTGTAGTTGTTTGCGCATGCTCGGTTAGCGAAGTAAACTGGCGTGATGATGACATAGTGAATGGTTAAATGGACACGAAACGATGTGTCTGCGCGCCGTGGGCATATTACATGCTGAGCAAGTAGGATGGAAAAAGTGAGTTAGTAGTTGTACACCAACGTGCTAAAAATGGGTTGGGGCACGTGTCTCACTTACAACCGATTGTAGTGTCTGATTAGTTACGCAAGGCAACTTATAGTGAAACGCACCGGAAACAGAGCCTATATGTGGAGCTACTAAACACTGAGCGTGAATGGAATAATACCAAGCTGTATAGAAAGCCGAGCTACTGATGAGGCCGCCAAAACCTACGCCGTTGATGTGATAAGTATTGGCGGTACTAATTTCATAAAACAGTCAATTGCAGATAGTTTGGTGAGCGCATGGTACAAAGTGAGCCAGTAAAGGTAAAGGAAGGTCAGTAGCACGCTATGGAGATCGGTCAGACAGAACATCTTTGGTTGGTCGCATTTCTTAGTGGAGACCTATGAGCAAAAATTACCACAGGCCAGTGACTAATACAAACATTCAGATAAGTGGTGGAAGCATCGATGAACCGACAAAAAAGCCAAAAAACATATGGACGTACAAATTAACGAAACGCATAGGACTCTAGACATGTAAAGCTCAAGAAAGCTCGTTGCATGGGGACGATTAAAAATCAAAAAGGGTTATTTAGGTTGCTGACAATGTGACACAGCTCACAGACATCCAGGGAAGAGTGAGCATTTCATGTACAAGTCAAATCCAAGGGAAAAATTATGTATATAGAGTGGGAAGTTCGACGGGGTAAAGCAACATCTAAGTTTGAGCTAGGGTGGCCACCAGAGAAAAACACCGTAAGTAGGCTAAAACATGCTTGAAGAATTCCTGTAGAACCCATGTAGTGAGGAAAGCAATGCTCGAGAATCAAAACGTTAGTTCCAAACGTGTGTGATTACCACAGAACCAGTGGATAAAAATGAGACAGTAGTAGACAGAAAAGCGATTGCTGTCGATGACGAAACGGGATAGAATACATGGACGTACCGTCATTGGGAGATGTTGAAATCCCACATATGTTCCGTAAGCAGAAAGTGAAAGATAACCAGAAAGGAAGTTGAACGATAGTCGTCGCGAATGATTTCAAGGGATGACAATTATTCGCTCGACATGTTTTGATAAAGACGTGCCGCGACTAGATAATGGTGGTGAAAACGACGCCAGATCAGCGTACCATACTTTCTAAATACCGGTCAGCAGTCCGGGAACTGAGTTTTTGAAATGAGGTAGTTTGCTTAATTTTCTCATGCAGTTGGCTCCTGGACTTCGCACAATCAATAGCAATGTACAGAACTTTCGTATAATTTTTCTCCGCATAAATATAGAAGGGTGAAAAGACTAAGGATCGCAAAACCAGGGCCGTGGCGGCGATCGACATGTCCCAAGGTAAACCAAACGAGCAGTGTGTGGAATTCAACAGGAATGTCAGAAACTTCATATGATAATAATCCGAATGGAATAGTTCGTGTCGGACGAATTCAACAAGGCCAACGGAGTGAACCGCGCGTATAGTGGGTGAATACAAACCAATCCTAGAGCGAGTTGCTAAACGAGTGGCGTTAAATAACACAGCCATCGTCTCGAGTCTAAAAAGATAGAGGAGATGGAGAGGTGAAGCAGTCGGCACAAAAGTATAGCTGGGCTGAGTGTAAATAGAAGTGAAAAAGATGTAATCGTCATGGGGCAATATGTCGGAAGATCAAAGTTGGTCATTCGGTACAGACCTCCGGCCGGTGCATAGAGAAAACAGGGGAGTATCGTCAGATGGCGAAACACCGCGGAAGCGTAAAAATCATGTGGCCAATACTGACCCTACAGAGAGTTGAAAAACCATTCAGAAGCGCGAGAAGTTCACATAAAACGGAGCGTTTGTAACTTTTAGAAATACATACAATGGAAAAACTGCAGAGCACATGCGACGAATCCGTGGAAACTTGCGCGAGTAAACCGAATGATCATTCTCGAGCCAACACCAACTGTAGAGTGGCAATTACTTGGTGAAAGTGAGGTGGTAGGGAGTGTATAGTACATGTGCAAAATCTTCTCTTCCGCGTAGGATTTATGAACCGCCAAAGCCACATAAAGTTGGTGTTCCCATCCGGCCTATTGTGGACTATAAGGGTCTTTCCACACACGAACTAGACAGTTATATGGCGAACTTAATACAATCGCTGTCAAGAATGACGAATACGCTCGTAAACAAGTTTGTGAGGTTGCTCAGAAGGGAGGTGTTAGAGTTGCATGAAATGACCATCAGTATTGTAATTACCCTGTTCTCGGCCAAACTGTTCAGAGACGAAGCGTTGTGGGTAGCAAAACGTTGTCTAATAGAGGACTATAAATTGAGAGGTCCAACAAGACTAACTACAAATCGAACAGTCGAGGGAATGACATCGAGTGTTGACGTGATCTGCATCATCTTTTAATCAAAACAAAACAAACTGGTAGTCAATTTGTTAATTCAGCTGGCTTGCCAGATTACCTTCTCATGGTACCACGATGCAGGCGTTGAGGTGCTGCCTGGTGAAATGCTCGTTGGTCTTGATTATTTAGACGATATCATTTTGCTGTTTAACAATGTTGGAGCGGCTCAGTCAACCGTGGATATGCTCCCTAAGACGATCCCGTCATTTGGTATGCGTTTTGCACCTTCAAAGCGATGTTGCCGCACTACCAGCCATTTGATGGCGAGGAAATCGATGTAGTCGATCAATCCACTAAACTTGGCAGCTGCAACAGCAACGATGGGCGCATAACCACGCAAGTCAGTTCATGTATTGCAAAAGCTAGAAGTGTCTTCTTGAAACTGTGAAATCTGTGGCGGTATAAAGGGGTTGGTTGGGCCAGGCGATCCGGTACCTTAAAAGTACGTCGTCCCACACCCCTGACCGTGAACTTCACTTTCACCGACTGCTCTACTGTGATGCATATGCAACACGCCGCCGATTATGTGAGGCGGCCTATCTGACACACACTCTCACCCATATTATCGGCCGTCTTATCTGTTTCATGTGACTTGACATCGGGTCAATACGCTGTCCGGTGCGGTGAAAATCTTTATTCTGATGGCTCTATGCCCCATCAACCGCGATTATAACACTGGCGATGGAGATGGCTAATCATTCACAGCTAACCAAATTACTACAACAGCAGCATGATTACATCCAGCAGCAACAGTGGGCTATGCTACAACAAGAACAAAGACAGACGTTGTTATTCCAAGCACTCACTTAGAAATGGTCATCCCTAAATTCTAACAGCTACCACAGCGAAAACCGAGTCCACTTCAGCTGGAGCAATGGCAAACGGAATGCAAGATTTCCAATATGACGCAGAGAATGGTATTAGATTCGTAAGCTGGTACAGGTGGTATGAAGACATCTTTCTGGTTGACGCGATCACGCAAGATGAAGCGGTCAAAGTACGGTAGTTGCTATGGAAGCTGGGCGCAAATGAACGCAACCAGTACTGTTTCTACCAGCTACTGCTACTTACCTGCTATCAATCCCGCACTGAAGATGCCACCTCGAATGGTGGCGAAACGTCTGCAACCAAGTTGCCCAGCTCGGAGAACTCCACAACAACTGAGCAAGCCTCCCGAGCTACCAATATTCCAAATAGTTTCGAGTACTGTAATTTCACTCTACCGAAACATTCCCGCGAGTGCAATGTCCAGGTGACTGTAGATGTTCGCACTTCGATATTTTGAAAAAGGTCCTCAATTTTCAACACCCATTATCAGTGTTTGAAGCTGGTTAAGGATCAATCCGAGGAGTATATTTCATACGCGGGAAGAGTGAAAATTCATTCAAGCTCAAACGACTTACGGATGATCAGTTCAAGTCATTCATTGTTGTATCTGGCTTGAGCTCAGCAGCTGACGCAGTAATCCACAATGGACTCATCTCCAGATTTCACCATTCAGGACATCACCGCAGTGTCAGCGTCTATTCGACTTAAAAAGTGACTCACAAATGTTGCAGTCGAAACATTTGATGTTAAAGATCGCAATAGTTGGTATCATTTCTACCGGAACACTGAGAGATGTTTATAACACCGCACGAAAGAAACCCGTGTTTGTTGGAATTGTGGTGAGAGGCATTTTTCTAGGAACTTCCGTTTATCAATCCCCAGTACATCGTCTGCCACAAAAAAGACCATAAAGGAACGCAATGTCGAACAACCACGATGTTCTCATCGTGGAGATCAAACAAAAATCGTTTCAACCACGCGGAATCGAATGGGAGTCAAATGTGGTTTAAGCAACTGCACAGGAAGGATTCCTTTCGCTCCCTAAGTTTGTCACTGTCATTATTAATGACCACAGTAAATAATAATAATAATAATAATAATAATAATAATAATAATAATAATAATAATAATAATGTGTCAGCTGTACGCCGTAACGGCGCTTTGCTGCCGCGCGACCACCACCAGTCGCGCGCGGGCTGAGTATACCGGGAGGACGCCCACCCCTACGCGGATTCGAACCGGTGACCCTATGGTTGCAGGCCACTCGGCCACCGGCCGACAATGGCCACAGTAAGCTTACAGCTGCATACCGCATCTGAGATTACCATCATCTCCAGCCCAACACGGTCGGCTATCGGTACACCAATACCGTGCAATGCGGAAAATACCGCAAGGAGTGCATCGAACAGTATCCCACAGCTATGTGGTAACTTTCCCTGTGAATATATATATATATATATATATATATATATATATATATATATATATAGTACCTGAATACAGATAATGTGCTAGCAGAACCACGGCATAATAATAGGGTGAAACGAGATACATGTGAAGAAAAGGATATTTTGCGGTTTTACGCACGCCGTTTTAAGATATTTTGTGTGTTTGAGTTGTATGTTCGATGAGACGTTGAACAGCACTGTCTGCACTAATGTCGGTTGCGCGTCGTAGCCTCCAACTTTTATAACCACTGGCAGTCCGAATCTCGTGGTCCCCCTCCTGGAAGGCGGACCGGTCCAACGGATGTTAAGCTTGAGTTTGCTTTTTTCATGCTCCTTCTCCACGTCCTTGGTTGTCCACCGCGTCACTTTTCCAATCGCTTCGGGGGAGCGCAAATAACGCTCGACGGGGAAGGCGATAGGCTAGAATGCGCAACAGATAGCCGAGCCAAAGCATGCGGTGTCGAAGAACAACCGCTTGAAGGCATGGGCTGTTTGCTACAAACACTCGCTCTCGAACTTATGTGTTGCTCACGTAATGTTGACACCACACGCGAGGAATCCTACGCAGAAAACAATTGTCAGAACCTGACAATTGTTTTATGTCTTCCAAACGAGTCGGCCAGGTCTCACAGCCGTACAAGAGGACCGCACGAACAGAGGCAATATATACCCTATCCTTGAGTTTGAGACTGACGTCACGACGGCGCCATAAGTGTCTCAGTTTGATGAATACAAGGTTGGCCTTTGCGATCCGTTGTGAGACCTCATCTCCAATACAGCCGTCAGCTGTGATGCAACTCCCTAGATTGGTGAAGCAGGACGTCATCAGCAATAATGAGGACAGGCACAGGCATCTGCCAATTCTGGCATGAACCACAAGCCATACTTAGTTGTCTCCATGGCTAAAAGGTTCAGAGTGCGCTGGACGGTTTTTGGATCGTCACCGAGCGAAGAGATATCATTGGCGTAGTCCAAGTCCGCGCCTCTGTCACCTGGGAGAAGCTCACTACCTCAGTTTTGAGGACCTTTCAATACTCGGTGAACAACATATTCAATGGCAAAATTGAAGAGGAAAGGTGAGATGGTGCAACCTTGGTGCACCTCGATGGTGGCAGCAAACGAAGTGGAAACCGTGCGTGTGTGGTTACAAACTTCTCGGGCATACCTTTCCTTAGCAGACCGTTTCACAACGCAGATCTAGCTGCTGAGTCGAAAGCGACTCGGATGTCTAAGACTGCGATTGTTGGCCTCAGTGGACGTGAAGGAGTTCAAGAAGTTGGTGGAGTATGAAGATGTGGTCAATGCAACCTCGGCCTGGACGAAAACCCGCTTGTTTCTCTCGGAAAACGCCCTCTCTAGTCGCTGAAAACCTGCAGAGTGGGATGGATACGAAAACTTTGGAAGCAATAGTGATCAACGAAATTCCGCGGTAATTAGCGCAATCTTCGCGGGATCCTTTCTTGTGAATCGGCACAATGACTGATGCTCCACACGCAAATGGAACTTTCTCGTCAATCCAAATACTCGTGGACAGTGATATCATTTTGTTGTCAATTGCATCCCCGCTATCTTTGAATAGAGTCGAGGAAAAGGCTGTCAGGACCGGGAGCTTTATGACGCTGCAAAGGTTGAATTGCGCTTCGGATCTCCGTTTCGATAGGAGCATCTGCGGCGACAGGTCAAGCACTATCCGAGGGAAACGGAGGTGTTACAATGGGCTGTGCTGAGCAGTTAAAATGGAAAGCAAAGTGTTCCGCCCAGTGACCCAAGAGTCTGCGCAGCGTGTGAATCGTAACCGGTGATCTTGATGAGATAAAATAAACTGCGGAAGTTTCCAGCCGATGCAGCGGCTTCAATCTCAACAGCTCGTTTTGACCACCAGGATTC